ATATTTTTAGAACATTTTCTTTCAGTGATTGTTGGTGGTTCTGCTGCTGCTGCTGCTACTGCTGTCGCATAGTTAAATGCGAGCTGTGAGCTATGTGCGGCACATACGAATAGGAATACGAATCTACGTATATGAGCATCTATTGTAGCAGACCCTCTTCCCCAGCCCCCTTACACTTCCACTTTCAGATAAACATACAGTGGCATTCCACATTATAAGCATAAATCCAGAGGGCAACCCACAAAAACTATAAAAGGACTCGTTTGGGGTGGGTGCGAATGCGAGAGAGCGCGCATTTGATGATTAATTGCAGCCCAGATGATAAATGATTGAGGGTAATAGGAGTAGCAAACGTGGTAGCTGCTGCTGTTGCTGCTGCTGCTTAGTTGGATTTTTAGGATGTGAGGGAGAAGCGGTTGGGTGTGTGTTTGTGTGTGCCGCATGGTGGCAAGTATTTAAGGCCCACGGACGCTTGGCCCGCACGTTTGCCTTGCCCCTCACGTTGAGCATATTTTCAGCAATTGCACGTATTTCGGATTTCCCCATCTCAATCGCCCAAATCTCCCACTTCCTTCTTTTGCTTCTTTCGGCTCTATTTTTTTTCGCTGGCTCTGCTAAAATAACTGTAACTTCGCTGCCGAAAAGAGACTAAGGTATAGGTAATGCACTGAAAGAAAAATATATTTAAAATCTAAAAAATTTTAACTAAATTCGTGATAAACCTAAATCGGAAACCTTTTAGAGATTGATTTAAACTTTACATAAATTTACATTTACTACTACTAATCTCTTAATTTTCTCAGTGCAATCAATGAAGTGGGTGTGTGTGAGTGTGTCACTCTGCTCTTGGCTTATTAGGTGTAAGTCTATGTGTGTTTGTGCATCTGTCTTCATGAATTACCCAATGGCAGCATCGTTTTCGGGGGCATTTCTTTTTATTTTTTTGCCATTCGCTCATTTTTTTTGTTTGGTTGTGTCACGGGTGTGCGTGTGTGTGTGTGTGTGTACGTGCCATTTTGGGTTTTTGTTACGTTTTTGCGTGTGCTAAATGTTAACTGCTGATTGCATATTGTCTGCGGGGTTGGTAAGAGGTTGTCGTCGCTGATTTCGGCACTTGTGTGGGATTTCTGTTGGAACGCCCGCCCGCTCGTCCACCAAAAATAAAAATAAATGAAAAACAAATGGAAAATGGGGAGGGTATGGAAATGGTAAATGAAAATGAATCAATGTAATATATAAATAAAGCATTTTAAAATTTATATACATTTTGCATATAGAAAGGGGCTTAATTTGAAATAATTTAAATACATTAAAATGGCAACCGCAGTTGGGTAATCGCTTCAAAATGTGGCAAATGTGGCATGCAGATAAAGCCACATCAATGGACATTGATAACAGAGAGAGAGAGAGCGAAATCCAATTGAATCCGCTTAGACGCTTGAATTAAAACCAATATTCTATAACAACATGCAAATCGCCAAATTCTATAAATGAAATTAATCACAAATATAGATTGGCAAAGTTGAATGGCCCCCTACCCCTCCTTTATTTCACACGCATGGTAACAAAAGGAAAAATCCATCCATTTTGGGTTTTCTATTTTTCCTTGTTTTCATTCTAGTGTTTATACAGAAATGGAAGAATAACATCATTCCGAGCGAATCGAAATCAATCTGGGAACAGCATATGAAATAAATTAAGAGTAAAAACCAAATACCATACCCCTTCGTATTTATTTTTGTTAGCATATTTCTGCTTTCTCTGCGCTTTCAAATTGTTTTGAGTGTGCAGCATAATTTCACAGCTTAGATAAACATGCCCAGGCAGAGCTCAAGATATGGATACATATACATATATATATGTAAATTCATAAATAATACATATGCAGATGCGGCATGATGTTGTTTGCTTTTGCCACTGCCATCAGCGCAGCAATTGTGATCCAGCAGCTGTTCAAACGAGAAGATACAAGTGTTCGACCGACCGACCGACTGAGTGAGTGACTAAATGACAGATTGACTGAACGACTGAACGACTGGCCGTATTACGCATCATAACCATAACACAACATATAACAGTCCCCTCCATAACAATTACAATAAAACAATAAGCAACAGCAAAACGCAGCCGCCGCATCGGAAGCTGGCGGAAGTCAACGGAAATAAACAAAACATCCGCAAGTTCTAATTACAAAAGGCACCAAAAACAGATACAGATACAGATACAGATATACAATGAGTGGATTGCTGCTTGCTGCTGGGTGAAAGGTCGTTGTGGAGAAAGTTCCAATTTGAATATAGTCTCCTTTTTTGAAACTCCTCCCACCACCACCTGCCATGTTCCGCCGAAACTTTTATTAAATGCTGCAATTTAAAGTTTTAAAACCCGAATCAAATTTAACCAAAGAAATAAAACGCTTAAATGAATGAGAAATGTTGCAAAACAAGTTAGCAAATGCACTTACTGGGAAATGTTTGGAAATAAAGCTAAGAAGAGAAATTATAGCTTAAGATTTATGATTAAGAATTGGTTTTGTTTTATACGGAAAACGTTGAAAGTGTAATATAATAATATGATTTAAGAAACAAACAAACACAATAAAAACTAAATCTCAGTCTCTACAAACTATATTTTTACAGCTTTAAAATCGGATTACCAAAAAAACCAGAAAATCCAAAAAACAATCTCATTTATGTCTTACAATGCCAAGTTTTATAGTTTGATATTTGAGATTAAGAACCTATCAAGAAATAAGAAACCCTAAAATAGTCGATCATAAAAATACCAAATGCAAGTTTCCTTGGCAAGACGATGACATTTCCTTACTTTTTATAGGGTATTCAAAGGCACTTGAATTCAGAGAGCAGAGCAAAAACCAAAAAACGTCAACCCTCGACGATGTCGGCAATACAAAATACGAAAAGTTATGCAAAAATGTGTACTCGAGTTCAATTAAAAGTTTTTAAGTTGTGCAAATGAAACGAGTGCATTGCGTCTTCAAACTGCGCCTTCCAATTCAGACCAAGGAAGGAAAATTCTGAACTCAGACAGGGAACTCGAAATTGGAACTTTGGCTTAATTGCCGTGTGCTGCTGCAACATACCAGCCGCCAGTTGGCCTGGCCAAAAGGAATTCAAATTCGTGTAGAACACTCCAAATTTAGCCAGCGATAAGATTAGTTTATATTTTTTTTTTTTTTGGCTCTATGCGGTAATAATACTTAAACCAAATTAAGATTTTTGTGTGCGTTTAGGTTGAAGGCCAGCAGCTGAGAAATCGAAGAGAATTGCTAATTTTAGTTTAGCATTTGAATATTTTGATTTGGCAAATCTACTTTTTGGCACATTCCTTGAATTTCGACGGGCACTACTTGAGGTTTCAATTGAGGCATGCAGAAAAATGAATAAAATAAATCAAATAGTCTTCTGTGTGTGTGTGTGTGTGTAGATGGCTGTATCTATGTTGTATATACTAAATAAACAAACTGGAGGTGTGAAAAGTATCTTTAAATTGGTGCGAAGCTCACTCAAAACGGTAGTCAGGTTGGTATGGCAAAGATACAAGATATAAGATCTACTTTAGAAGGTAGGAGGGTTCTGAAGGAGCAGCCTCTGGGCGAGCAAACCTTCGTCTTATCACAGATTTCCCTTTTGCCGAGTGAATTACGACTTTGCGTTTGATGGGCAAACAAAAAAATATAAAAAAAAATATATATAGAAGCGGGAGAAACTGAAAGCGACACCGAAACCGAAACACAATCTTCTTATGCGTCAGGTTTTTTGTATTTCTTTTTTTTTTTTGATAACACCCAGACCAAGCAGAAAATGCCAAAGGCATATCTTAACAATAATACAACGAGAGGCAAAACAACAGAATAAAACCAAGAGGCAGCCAACAAAGCTGTCTGCAATCAGCTGGCGGCGGCTTCGATTCGTTTTATCAGAGCGGCCAAAAAAAAAAGAAAGGAAAAGAAAAACAACAAAAAGCCGAAAGAAAATAATAAATAAAATACAAGCCAAACAGAAAAGAGAACACAAACAACAAACACACATATATGCATATTAAGTGTGCGAAAAAATTCGCAAAAATATACAAGTATATATGCTATGTATTTAGTATATATATTATGCATGCCCTCAGATGATAACCGACTCTGGTCGCTGACTGCTGGCGAATTTTACTTATTTATGGGCCGGCATCTATTTATTCGGCTCTTCCTCTTGTTCGCTTTTAGCAAACATATATATATATATCAGCTGCTATATATACTCCTACATATATATAAAAGTTTAGCACATATACAATTCCGCTTATCAAGAGTTTATAATTTTTAGCAATTTAATTTTAGCTCACGCTCGTTCAGGTAAATTCGAGAGTGTGGGACCTTGAAACGGTTTCTTTCTTTTTATTCATTTTTTTTTTGTTGTTTTTTGATTGGCCAGAGAAACAAACAAAAGATCATTGAAAAGAAATTTTCATGTTTTTTAGAGGGGGGGAAATTTAAACAAAAAAAAATCCCGTTCGAAAATTACGCAATTCCCGGCCAAGGAAGTCCGCATAAAGTCGGTTAATGCTTCGATAAAATACCGCTGCCGACTGGCCTAAGTAGTAGTCTCAACTATATGATAAATGCCTAAAATGCTAAATAAATAACAAACTAAAGCCAAAGGTTGACGTCAACTGGAGGAAAAATTATGGTGGAAAGTGGAAAGGGAGGAAATTTGATTTATGTTTATAGATTTAAAAGCCACAAAACACAATAGGAATGTCCAGCAAAGAAGAAAACTTAAAATCAAATAGGGGGAGGCTTTTGGTTATTTTCGGAATCTATTTGAGAAAGTTTTAGTTTATATTAAAGGAAATATAATATTTTTAAGTTTTTTTGTTTGATTTTTATAATGATATTTAAATAAGAAACCTACAACCATCAATCTTATAAGTTTCTTTGGTACATTTTTTATTTTATGTAAAATATTTAATAAATATGAAATTTTACTAACCTGTTGCCATTGATCCTCGAACGACGGCTGCGACGAGAAGTAGCCGGTGCTGCAGATCCTCTCCAGCTCATTGAAGATTGTGCCACTCGGTAGGATATCCATCTCGAAATCCTCTTCCTTGCACTGGAAAAACTCTAGGGACTCCGTTTTGAGGCCGTTATTTAATGTTTGATGGGGCCGAAGAAAATTTTATGAACTCAAACTGTTGATTAGACAACAATTTGGGTTTGATTTTGATGAAATTTTGATTTGATTTGCGTTAGATATATAGATATATATATCTATTTTGATTGGTTTAATTTTGATTTCAGATGGATTTATGCATCCCGACGATGACCGATGCTGCAGGGGACAGCATTTTAACACTCGCGCTGGGTTATTGGCCTACAGATTTGTTATAATATATATATATATCTATATATTATATAGCTAATATGCATTGATCTACACTTTATACACGCTTGTTATATATTTTTTTGGTTTCTTATTGACTTAAAATTTATTTATTTTCAGCACTTTTATTTAGATTTCATTTATCCCGATGCATTCCAGATTTTTCTCTCTCTTTTTTTGTGGCTGGTTGTGTGTTGGTTTCTGTAAATAAATAATAAAAAAAAAAACGCAAATATAAACATTAATCATTTTATTTTTTAATAGTTGTTGTTTAACCCCAATTAGGTTTTTAGGCAATTCGCTCCATTTTCATAAACTGCCTTTTTCCTATCATTTTCGCCGACTCATCAAGCCCGAGAATTATTTATTTTTTTGGAACTGTGCAAAGTTCATTTTCCCAGCTAGCTTCTCTCACTTTTGGTGTGTACATTTTCATATCGGTTTCGGATCGTTTTAGCCAAGCTCAACACTTTTTCACTATCAAAACACAGTTTTGGGTCAGTAACCCCAATTTGAAACACACGTATATAGAAAGATATGTACGTTGTGGCCATGCATTCGACGGTGTTCGGTTCGAATTTTTATTATTATGATAGTCAACAGGGGCTCGGTTTTTGAGCCATGGACCTGGGTTTTCGGCCACGGCTCGGCCTCAGCCTGTGTTTTTCTTTAATTTCTAAGCGTTGTCCCTCGCTCACTCCTCACTCTCCACTCTTCTTCCTGCACACAAATACATATATATATATATATATATATATATTTCTACCTACGTATAGCTGTGTAAACCCGGTCTGTTGTCGATTTTTACTACCTGTTTCTTGTTGTTGTTTGAGCCGGGCTCTTTCACAACGTTTTCGTGTTAACTGAAAAAGAACCACCAAAGCCGAACCCAAATTCGTTGACCGTCCGTGTGCGCTTTTGACTTCTTTTTTTATTTTTCGTTTTTTGTTTGTTGTCTTGTATTTCTTTTTTTTTGGTACAGTTTTGTTTTTGTTGCTGCATGCGGCAGCGGTTTCCCTCTCTTTTTTGTTGCTGTTGTTGTTGTTGTTGTTCTCCTGGCCAAATTAGAACTTGCAATGCATTTGTGCTGGCCCTGGGTAAAAGCAACTTTCATTACTCAACCGGCAGTGGGAGAATTATGCGGGGAGGAAAAACGAGTGTCGCCGATGATGGAAAATGGCAGACTGAAGCTATATCTTTTCTTTCAGAAGTGCACAAAGGGAAAATGTGGGGTTTTAGAGGTTTTTAAGCCTTAACTAAAGATGAAGAACTAAAGAAATATATTTGTTAGATTTAATATACTAAAAATACTTAATGATAAGAATAAATTGGTTTTCTTTTTGCGGCAATAAGAATTTTATGATCTACTTTAAGAAGAAACCTATCTCTCTCTCTCGTAATGTTTAGTTAAAGAAAATCCCTTCCCAGCTGTTCCTTCTAACTTTTCCATCTCTAATTTAAGTAGAAAATCTTGTCTATTTTTCCCAAAGTGTAACCCTCACCCACAATCACAATCACAGACGATGGGCCACAGTCAATGGCATTTTTATGTTCTTGACTCTGCCCCATGTGTCTGCCATATCATTTCTGGTCTGTTCTACTCTCAGCTCAGTTCGGTTCCCTTTTGTTGGCCTGTTCCCTGGTCTTTGACAATAAGCATGGCTTATTGATTTTCCAGCAGCATTCGAAGGCATTTTCATCCCGAACCTTTCACACACTTGTCCTGCGCTCTGAACTCTTCCTGTTTTATTGTTAGCCATCACATCGCTCCCCCTTGGCGGTCGTTTTCATTTTGATTATCGAACATTTTTATCGCTTGACGTTTTTACAAGTTTGTATTATATGTATATATATATATATAGAAAAAAATGGTGAAGAAAAACCATAGGATAGTATAGGAAACGAAACAAAAAGTTATGTCTGGGGTACAGTTTTTAGGGGTCTAGAGTGTGTGTGTCTTTGTGTGTTGTTTTGGCCCTTTTCCAAAGGGTTTGGCTAAGCATGAAATGAGCGGATGGCCAGTTCGCATTTCGCTTGAAACTCGATACGCTTTTCATATTGAACTTTGAGTTTTGCGTCTGGCCGGAATGGTTGTGTGTGTTGGTCTAATTAACTGCTAACCCAGTTTCCGGACGTTATCGCTCAACTGAAATCAAATAAAGGAGCGTGCTCTGGTGTACAGCTGCTCATTAAGTTTGCTGCCTGAAAACAAAAACAATAACAAAATCCCAGACAACTAAGCCAAAAAAATACTCTAGAAAAACAAAACCCACTTAAGCCTGACTTCTCCTTCCGCCCCCCCAAAAAGGAGAATCTCTATTGCCACTTGGCCCAGCTGCATTTATGATTGCACCAGCAACAGAGGCAGCAGCAGCAACATCCATGGCAGACACACGTAAAGATACTTTACTCAAATACCCTTCAATCAACAACTTAACGCGCCACGAGGGCAGACAACGACGTTAACTTCCCCCGAATCTTCCTCCTTCCTCTGCCTCTGCCTACGTGCGTTTTAATTTTAATTTTTTTTTTTCTTCTTTTTTCCTGCTTTTTCCATCATGTTGCTGCTGCTGTTGCTATCTGCCGCTGCGTGGCCACTTCAACTCCGCTCAAGTTGATTTGGCTGCGAGTTTGGAGTCGCAATTGGAGTCGGAGTCTCCGAGCAGTTTGTTTTTGTTTTGTTTTCCATTTTTGAAACGGAATTTTAAGCGCTAAGAAAGCGCGGGTTCTCTTAAAGTCACTGAATGTTGTTGTTGTTGTTGTTGCTGTTCCTCGTGTTGCTGCTGCCGCTGCGGCTGATTGTTGTTGTTGCTGCAGCACATCAGAAACAGAAACAGAACCACATCGCAACGACCTTAACGGGCAGCCAGTCTTGCGACTTGGACTCGGATTCACTCAGCCGACAGCAGCAGCAGCAGAGCAGAGGCAGCAACAACAACAGCATCATCAGACACCGCAGCAACATCAGTTACAAGAACAACAACAATAGACAGTGAAAACGTCATCAGCAGTCCAACGGGTCTTTGCCTGCATTTGTGAGATTTTGTAGCTGCTTTTCATCTTCCATTTCTTTGGCTTGGGGATAGCCACAGAGAGAGAAAATAAGATTTACTTGGTTTTTAAACATTAAATTATTAGAAACTAACAAAAAATGAAGCCGAATTTGATATTCATTGTGTTCGTTTATGACTTAATAGGAGATATTTAATAGTATTTTTTAAATGAACTAAAAAGTGTGAATTTAAAGCTTTAAAAAGTCAAAAAATCTTAAATTTACCCAAAATTTGACTTTTATCTTACAAAACAGAAACTAAATAGGTAAGAATTTCCTCTGTATTTCCCAGATTTTTCTCATATTTTCTCTCTCTGCACAATGACATGGCAACAGCAACACGAACCGAAATGAAATGAATTTCATTCCCCGAACTTGATTTGCCTTCTCCTACGCAAAAGGGGACAAGCTCGTCTCACATTGTATTATTTCCTGCTCGTATTATCTCCCATCCTCCATCGTTCAGAGTCAGTCACCCACATATACTCGACGTACTCCTACTCTTAGACCCATATAGCATATAGCATATATAGCATATAGCCCAGAAACAAATCAACACTTTGTTCATTTCACACGTGAATTGCTCCAGAGCAAAGCCAAAACCGAAATGAAAGGGGAAATGTTCATGGTTTGTCTATTTTTATATAGCATTTTGTTTACATTCCAATTCGAGTGGGAATTTTCCTTTAGGAATGGCAAGCTGGCAGGCAGGCAGGCATTCAGAGGCAGGGGCACACGCATTCTCAATTAGAAAATCCCATTTTCATCTTTTGCTGTTGCGGTTACACGCGGATTGACATTGAAAACGGGCAACAAAGTTTCAAAAACCGAAAACTCAAAAATTACACAAGGAAAAATTAAATACTTTTATTTAGTTTTTAATTAACTAAAGTTCTTAAGTTAAAAATGTAATATTTGCCTTATAAGTTTGGATTTTATTCTCATTTTTAGGCATATATTTCTTTGATTTTAGTTTTTAATTTATTTTAACAAAGATTTCCCTTAGAAAATCTCAAGTTTTTCTATCTGCATTGCCACAGCATTTTTGGGGGTAAATATTGGAGAGGAGCTTGAGTTCGACATTTTGCTGCGGCTTCTTTGCGGTTGCCGGCAATTAATTTATATTAAGGCAAAAATGTTGCTTCGGATTTGTACCTGTTGGCAGGGATATAAGCACGTTATGCCCACCGCAAAAAGGAAGTTCGGAAATTCTGTCAAGAGATTTCCCTAACCATTTCCCATTTTACACAAATTGACCAAAGAGTTGTGTAACAGCAAAGAACAACAAGGAAATTCATATCGAAAGCCGGAAGAAGATGGAAAACTGCTGGAAAAACAGGAGGCAATGGCTAACAACTAAAGACAAAAGAACAGAAGAAAGATTCCCTTTTCATTTGCTGTTCGCGTCATTTATTTTTAGTTGGCAAACTGCTTGTGTATGTTTATAAACAAAGCGTTATTTATGTTCTCTATTTTATTTTCGTACAGCCAAATAAATATTAATAAAGACCCCGGCGATTGTATATTATCAAGGCGACAGTTCGACGGGGGCACTTTATTTTCAGACGCCTGCCCCTGTGCACATATGGCGGGCAGGCAGGCACAGCTTCCCCTCATTTAATTGGGCCTCTGGACCCATAAATATAAATCCTAAGTCGTCCTCCCTTTTCAGCTTTTGCAAGAGAGAAGGAGAGTGATTTTGAAAACCATTAGCGGGTCTTAACCACATTCTTTGCTGGAACACTCATCGCTCTGAGTAATTGGATTACAAAGCGAAGCTATCAGTAAATATTTAGTGTACCAGGAAAACACTAGCCTGGCACGGCACAACCTGTGTGTTTGCCCCTCTCTCTATATTTGACATTCGGTGGAAAGTGTAAGGGAACACCGAGCTGCAAGCTGAGCTGGGCAGCGATACGAATTAATCGCAGAACAAGTGCATTGCCTGTTCGATTTGCCAAGGCAAGAATTTATATATACCTCTCTCTATACATATATATATATGGATTGCTATTATTGTGTATTTCCTTAGCTATTCATATTTATACGATTATTGGTGGCGGCGCCGTCGAGTCAACCGCATTTCAAATTGAATACTATCCAGACGGTGGCATGAATCAGAATCAGACTACGTGATCCGATGCAAATGTATATGGCGATATAGCCAGCTGAAAAATATTTAGCTGTAATAATATAGTCACAGTACGAGTTTCAGAATCTGGAACGGAACCGATTAGACGTCTCGATTTTGGCCTGTGGCTAACAGCGATGAGTGTTAAATGCACTGATAAAAAATATATCATAGAAGTCGTAATCACTAAGGGGTTTCTTATGTGTCCCCCCAAATCAGCAGAAATATTTTAAATTATATTTTAGGAACTTTAAAAGATGATTAACTGGAACTCTACGAATATTCTTTCTGTATTCCAAACTAATGCTCTTCCTTTAAGTGATTCATTGGGAAAGATTAGCTCACAATGTCAACTGAGCAATAAAAAAAAGAACAAAAACCGGTTAGATTTAATAGGAAAAACCACATATTTTTATCATTCATAAGCTAAGCTTGGAAAGAACTTTTATATATTAAAAATTGCAATTGCAAACTCAATGAGGTAATGATATCATTACTATGAAAGTTATAAAAAGACAGTTTGGCTTATCCTTTTGAATAATTTAACTTAAAGTATTGTAAAAGTTTAAAAAATCAAAATTTTTGAGTTTAATTTTCAGAATTTTAATGTTTATGTTTTAAAAAATGAAGCCAATTGGTAAATATTTTTACTTGAAATTATTTAGCTCAAATATTTGTAAAAATTTAAACAACGAATTGTATGAAAATTATTCTTTTTATATATTATATTATATTAACAATTATAAAATTAAGCAATCAATAATTGCATTAAATAGTTTGAAAAATTTGAGGAAACATTATTAATTTTTTTAAATTTAAACAAGAATTTAAAGTTTAAGGAGAAGAGCTCCTTCCTTTTCGTTATGTTACAAAAATCTTTTAAAAAACTGTAAGAACATATTTTATGATTTTTATTCCTAGTATTTCTCAGTTTATTTTTAACAAATTGATAACTTTCCCGTTAAAATTAGCCACCTATCACTGCTATATTTATCATTTCCATGTTTTTGATTTATTTATTACTCAATTTAATATTTATTACAGAAGTTGACGTATCTCAACTCATATCATTTATTTGGCAGTTAAGTGATTTTCGGGAAACGCTGATAATAATAGCACTATTTAGATAGTAAAAATAGCTTGTTATGGTTTTTCTTTCTCTGTAGAGTACGCTTTTTTTTTGTAACTCTTATTAGTCATAGGAAATAGTCAGAGGGGTGATGGTTGTTGAAGGGGGGAAGGGGCAGGCGGTTGCCTTGTGATTCACAATTCACAATGGACGTGCTAGAAATTGCACTTGTCTGACGGTTAGCGGTAAATCAAAAGCCGCATTTCGCACTTTGCCAAGTAAGTGAGCTTTCAATTTCGGTCTTTTCTTTGGCATTTTCTTGCATTTTCTTAGATTTTCCGTTTGGGCTATCATACCTGGCTAACTTGTTGTTGTTGCTGCAGCTGCTGATGCTGTTGTTGTTGGTGGTGTATCTGCAACACTTGCCACCGTAACTGCTATTTATTTTTTTTTCTTATTTTTCTCTCTCTCTCTTTTTATTTGCAAACTCGTTTGCACACTAACACACCGACGACGACGACACACTAATACCGACGCGACGCCGGCTAAGGCAATAACAACAACTCAACTAAGCCAGCATATAGAACAATAATAATAATAATAATAACAACTACAACAACAACAACAACGACGAAGACGATCGCACACTGATAAGAACTTAGTCGTATACTTAACACAATATTAGCTTGTTGTTGTTGTTGGTTGCTCTTGTTGTTGTTGTTGTTTTCAGGGAATTTTTCACGGCTTTAATTTGCAGCGATATCGCCGATAATTTTCATGTTGTATATATATACAGGATTTTCCAATAATTCCGCTGTATTTACAGTTGTATCTTGAATTTCACTCTTTATTTTTCTCCACTAGCCGGCGATTTGTTTGGATTTCGAGAAATGATAATGACAGGAGGGGTTTGGGGGGTTTCCCTTTCTTTTTTTTTGTTTCGATACAGTAGCACTTGTGTTTTCCTAGCTGTTAACAACAACTATGGTTTGGCTTTTACTTTTATCAAACTTGTCAGCTTATCAGAGCCGAAGATACAACGTTCGTTGTTCTTCTATCTTTTCTTTTCTTTTCTTATTTTTTGTTTACACGCGCCGCTCACACAGATACTCACACGCACACGATAGCAACTATGGCATATAAACAAATTCGCAATCCGTTAGGTTTTATGTATTTGTTATGTTTTATTTTTTTTGGTTTAAGATAATTATGATTATGCGATTGTTTCAATTTAACCGATAACTAACGATTTTCCGAATGACCGGCAAAAAAAGACTTCGACTTCTGCGATATCTTGGACTTGATTTTCAACAATTTAGCTGTCTGAAGCTGCTTCTTGAAATTTGCCCGAACTTTTCCCGGCCGAGTTGGAAACCCGACTGATTGTACTAACAAATGCGACGCCGTTCGTGGTTGGGCCACCCTGCTCTTAGTTTCCGTCGTCTGCTCTGCTCTCTTCTCTTCTCTTCTCTGTTAAACGTATTATGTTACTGTTAAGCGTAACATTATGCACTCGGCAATGGCATGTTAGGGAACATGTTAAGTGCATCTGTTGGACTAAGAGATGAATAATGCACTTGCTAGCGATTTAAAAAGACTTTTCTGGGACTGTAAGGGGTTTTCTTATTTGCTTTTAGTTTGCACAGCCTTACTTTTTCATAGTTTATGTAAATAACGCACTGAATGGATCTTCAATGTTATAAGCGATAGATATATTGAACAATTTAGGAAGCACTTGCCTAGCTCATTCTTCATTTTCTCACTTGTTTTATTTACTGAATTATGTTTATAAGAGGTTTGTACATTTTTATTAGGAATAAACACACATACATACCTAATTTAAGATTTATAATACCATATATGTATATGATATACAAATAATAAATATATTTAAATTTCTTGATAGCCTTAAAAATGAATAAGTTTATAACAAAATCTAAAAAGTCTATATTCTTCCTTTTCAACAACCTTAATGTCCAAAAACCATCTTCTTAAAGAGAAAAACCTTTCCTTTGGCGCCAACATAAATTTCAATCTAACTAAAAGCAATGCCTGTTAAGACTTAACGAAAAAATGTTAAGAGTTCGTTGAGATACTGTTAACGAGTATGTGACTAGTAAAATGAGAGAACGAGTGGTGAGAAAATAACGAAGCCGGTTAAGAGAACAAGAGAGCTCTTTAAAAACTCTCTCTTTCAAATTGGAACAGAAGTTTAAGATAAAATATTAAACAAAATTTATGAATAAATATTATTAACTAAAAATGTACTATAAATAATACTAAAAAAATAAATACAAAATAAATATATTTTTTCATATTTTCCTACTTAATCAGAAATTAAGTCATCGATTATTAAACATTTACGATATTCGCAGCTATGTTATCTAACATTGTTCTAACATTTAATTCCGGCTATGACAATCAATTTCGATCATTTGGCTAATTAGCCAAATCTGGCCAAAAGCCCTGCTGAAATATGTATGCACTTCCTGCGGTGCTCCGTTGGTCTCCCTTTTGCTTCAATAATTGACAATCACATTGCGTATACGCCTGCCAGCAGAATTATGACAAGCGTGTAATGTGCAGGCAGCTGGCAGTTGGCATAATTGCAAATAAACTAGCAACAATAGCCGACCAAAATGTGCACCCACTAAATCTGAACAACAGAAGGGATTCAATAAGCTGAATTCTAGTTATTTTCACGGAAGTTATAGCGGGAAAATAGGAACACATTAGGAGTATTGTACTAGAGTTTGTACTTTCTCTTTAATATAATATAAAACACTATATATTCTATCTTTTCTGATATAAAAACATAATCCCTGTTTCAGTTCCCTTTAAGCATATTTCACTGTACTTAAACACATGTGCATAGATAACTCCCCAAAACAGAGATTATGAGACGGCAATGGTGTGTTGACAATTTGACATCTTGCTCTTCGTTTGCCTCCATTCTCAAGTTCTCAGTTAGGAAACTCCATTTCCCATTCCCCAACTCCTAGTTTCCAGCTCCCAACTCTCAATCTCCCCAGTTCCAAAGGCCCTCCAACAGCCGTTGGCTGGCGGAAGTCACACAAATCCGTAAATGGCACAGTTTATGCCACCAAAAGCTCTAACCTGAAGTTCAGGCCAAGTTAGGAAGCGGCAAATTGTCCATTATTGGTGGGCCAAATGGAGAAGGGAAGTGAAGAGAAGACCCAGCCATTGCAATCATTATTAATATTGATTGGAGCATAAACTGGCGACGGGATTCGAGCGGGATCTCCAACGCATACGGTCGTCCCAAAATGTTGTCGATTAATTGCGATTATGTAAATGTTAATGTAAAGCGCGTTACAATTTATTATGTTTGCAGGAAGGTTTGCATGCAAAGTGCTCTTGCCCAAATACACATTCAAAACACATACATACATATACATGTACATGCTAATGTGCGTATCCGTTAGGTTGCCAAGTTTGGCTTATTGATTTAGTAGACGCTGCAAATTGCGCTTTGATAGCGTCTAATGTGACGTTTGTGCAATTGTAATGGAAATTTATGTTTGTCGGTCTATGTTTGCTGTTACCAGTTTGTTGTTACTGTTGGTGTTGTTGCTTAGGATGGTCCACTGGCACTACTTGTAGGGCTCCCAATGTCCACCTGGCCTTAATTACAGGTGTGTCTCTGTGGCTGCCCACCTTTTCGGGGGTTCTAGTGCATTTTGAGCACTCCCTGGGGTCTCAGAGGGGGGAAACAATTACAGCGGCCGACTTGCAGATTAAGTGCAGTCGAGGGGCGTTTAAATTTGGGTCGGTGATTCGGGATTCTAAGTTCTAGTCCAAGTTCTTGATCGAAGTTAAGCTAGAAATAGATTTGTCAGCACTAAGAAAAAGACTTAGAAGAGACTTCTAAACTCACAAAGATCTAAAATGAAAAAGAAGCACCACAAATCTCAAAAACCAATCAAATAAACCTCATGAGAAAATAAATAACCATGTCTGTTTATATATCATCTACCAACGACTGTCGCTTGCCCATATTAGCCATCAATAACAGCACTTTAAGTACGTATCTTACAGATACAGACCGCTGAAAGCCACCTACTCAACGCGCCTGGGCTTGAAAACTACCAACTGGCGACCATCGTCGACCGACTGTGCCATTAAGGAAATCATAAAGTGCATAAAATCACAAAGCAAATTGCTCAAAAAACAGGCACAATATGCGCTCGCAGTCGGAATTGCCAAGCAGAGGCAAACACAAGAAGACGAGAGACGACACTTTCCAGCTTAAGCCAATGGCCAAAACCAGCAGGTTGGTTGGGGGCCATGGTTAATGCTACTCTTCTTCTATCTGTTGTTGTTGTTATTGTTGTTGACGCTGTTGTTGTTGCTGCTGCTGCTGCTGCCAAAGCGAAAATATTTTGATGTATTCATGGAAACATTTTATGCATGTTAAGTAACAGACAAATCGACGGAAACTTATGCTACGCCGGCTGATGGCAGGGAGGGGTGGCCCATTCGGCTGATTAATAATTTACGTGGTAATATTTCTGTTGCCTGTTACCCCGCCAAAAAATATCAACAACAAAAGGTTGGCTAAAAGTACAGTGAAGGCGCTTTAGGGTGAACATGATTTTGGTATCAATAAACAGTATTTAATTAACAGTTTTTATTAGATTATGAAGAAAAATGTTAAAGTAAAAGTTTTTGAAAATATATTTAAATATTTATAAACTGTAATTAGTACCTAGATATTGTATTTAAGAGCAAGTTAAGATTATTAATTATTTTTCTATTATAAAATCGAATACAAAGGAAGAAGCTAATTTATTCTATTACCTTAACAAATCTTTAGCCATTGTTCACCTTAAAGTGATTTCCCTATACAACAAAAACAAGAAGACGCCTTCAAGGTGGAAAAGTGGCCAAGAAACCGAAAGAGATGGAGTTTGTAAGTGTGAATGAGAGGCAAGAAAAGGCCAGAAAGGGACAGCAAGGGACCAGGCAGACGCATATGAATTGGAAACTAATCGTGGAATATGAGAATGATTATTATGCACATCACACTAATCATTATCTCTGTCATGGACAGTCAGGGGGGGATTCGCTACTTCTTCAACGGAGGGTGGAAAACCCAAAAAAAGAAAGCAAGAAAGAGATGGCAAAAGGGGGGTCAGAAAGAGATGGCAGGCGAGTTAAACATGTGTGGCTCATAAAAATCTGTTGATATTCATTGCATGTCGCCAGTAGGACCTTACTCCTCACACTCTCCCTCTCCCCACATTTCTGTCAGAGGGGAAAAACTTTTCCGGCTTAGCTTAGGGCTTTAAGCTCACACACACACACACACTTTGCCTGATTTCTTTTTGGGCCTCCCGTTAATGGCCAAAACAAATGAACATTGCAAGGCATTCATTCATTAAATGCTTTGTCATTCCCTCACCCTTCCCCTTTTCTTTGGGGCAAAAATTAATTTAATTTTTGGCAAATATAAACACTTGCTATCCACTTAGCTGCAGTTCATTGCTTCAAGTAAACACAGGCAGTCAGAAGTTTTGCGAGCTGGAAAACTTCTTCTTTCCAACCAACTTTCAGCCGTCTCTGTTTGCACGTCTTTGACAATTTCAAATTGTTGAGCATGCAAATAGGCGCAGCAACAATAAGCCATGCGAATCACATGTGCAGAAGTGGGGGCTTTTCAAATACAAACCGAATGAATGACAAGTCTTCGAGAAACTCACAAGACAATAGGGTGTACTAGAGGGGAAAGGCGGGGTGCCAATAAAGAGCTAAAAATAAATTATACGCCTGCCGTTTCGCATATCAAAAAATTGCAATCTTAAGTGATAGCGGATAGGATAACTGACCTGCGCAAGGTGGAAAATCAAAAAAAAGAGATAACTTAAGGGAAGAAAATGATTGATAACGAAACTAATTAAACGAGAAAGTACACACGGGAAAAAGCTGAAATATTCACAGAACTTTATGTTTAACATGAATATTGGCTATAGATTTGATTTTTTCCCTTTCTCTTTCTGGTAGCTTAAGTTTTTAACATTAGCAAACAGTTTACAAAACAAAATATAAAATATTTATAGATGGAAAATACTTTAACACATTACTGGCCTACATTGATCACAGAGAGAAAAACCCTAAACAAATCACAGAAATTTAGGTTTACCATAAATATTATTTAAAGACCTATTAAGCCGAAGCCCCAGCAGCTATGATATTCCTTCCATTGCTGCAGCTTAAGTTTTTAACATAAACAAACAGTGTAAAAAATAATAAATAAAATACGTATAAATGGAAAAAAACTTTAAAAAATTTCTGATGTACAATAATCATAGTAAGAAAGCCCAAAAAATATTCCGAAAATTGTAACTATTGTAGTAATCTTCCTTTTCCTGAAAAATATTTTA